GTTGTTCGAAGCGCGGTGCGGTACGAAGGAGAGAGTGGGTGACCCGTTAGTTGGGAGAGGATGCGTAGAGGTCTCTAAAGAGGGGTCGTGCGACAAGGCGGCCCGAGTGACGTGACTGCGGCGGGTCGTCAAACGTTGTTCGTAATCGAACAATTAAATAAATTCGAATTATTAAAGAGTTGTTCGAAGCGCAAGGCGGAACGAAGGAGAGAGTGGGTGACCCATAACTTGGGAGAGGATGCATAGAGGTCTTCGAAGAAGGGTTGCGCAACATGACAACCAACGTGACGTAGTTGCGACGTGCAGTGATCAACGTTTGTTCGAGAATGGACAATTGAGTATAAGCGGTTCGATGAAAGAAAGGTTTGACGCTAAAACGGGCGCACAATTCATTTTGTATCGCTCCTGTCTCGAAGCGGCCTACAATGGCGCCCCTTAATTGGAACGAAGGTAATGAAAGACAAATAGATAGATAGATATTGACCTCTGTCTTTGAAGGAGTTTTTTGAGAAACATGAAGGATCACGCGAGCACAATCATAATGCAGGGAGAGAGTGCGCGCTCTAAAAAGTGGATGAGAAGGGCATTAGGCGAAAGGCGATTGGAATGATTCGTCCTCTTTCGTTCCGTGTGAATAGGAAGTAGAATGTAATCATGATAGAGGGGGAGAGGCCACAATAAGATGCTTCATTGCTATAGCGAGCATACTAAAGTATGATGCACTCCAGATAAGCCAACACATCAGCCTATCGGTCAACCAAGGAACATGTGGTATCATTTGAAACATAATGAGAGGTAGCCGTCACTATTTGTGCATGGGAAGAGTGTCGGAAGGCCACACGCAAGTTCTAAAATACAAACAGGCTCCTTGAAACGCGGCGGTGGGGCGGTAAGTACGTAGTAGTGACTCTCCCTAGCACTTTGCATTTTTTTTTAATTATTGATTATTTTATTATTGTTATTATTATTATTATTATTATTTTATTATTTTACTAGAAATCGCTGATATTCTCGCTTTATTTAAAGTGACGTCATGCTGCTGACGTCGGTGGCAACTCCCCGAAAGTACGCGGACGGTCGGTAAACTTTAGCGGAGTTTCGACCGGTCCAAACTCTTCAAAACAGTACACTTCAAACTCTCCTGATGGCTACGGCCC